TTTTGCTTCCTGCTGCCTGACGGGATTTGTATTTTTTGCTGCTTTAGTCGTATCCTATCCCATAGACATTCCCTTTTCCTGAGCCAGGAGGGATGTCTGTGGCAGGAGTAATTAAACTGTATCGTAGAAGAGGGGTACACAGGTCATGGGAAGAATGAGACTAATGGGCTGGAGCTGCAGGGCATTATGTAAAATAGACAGATGCAGTTCAATATTGAACTGGTTCAGAATGAAATATTCCTGTTGATTCCGTGCCTCGCCACGGAGTGTGTTATTCAGGACCATGGGAGTGGCTTCTCCTCCCAGGATGGAAAAGATAATAAGAAAAAAATAAAACTGCTGTAAAAACAAGCTCTTTAGTTCAAGAGGTGTTCTATGTCATCCCTTCTCTTTTGTAATTATTACACCCTGACTTTGGAAGAAAATGGATTAAATCTTTCCTATATTGAAAATATCTGCTGAATATATCTTGTGTAGTTAGCTTTAATCACTGTACTATTCAAGGACAAGGCAATCAGCTAAAAAAAAGTCATTAGAGGTGGTCAGGATGGTAGCAATAAAACATCTTGAATAGAGAACTAACATTTTCCTTCACTGAAACTTTTTTTTTTAGGAAAACACACTCTCAGCAAGGCTGAGAACAAAAACTCTGCTTAAAACATGAAATAAACAGTTTGTGAGAGGGAACACTGTGGCTCCTGGGATGCTGGCGATGCTGGTTCAGTTTTTAAACCTGGTGTAGATCAGAGATTGGATCTTGTGTGTTTTGCTTCAGGTGATGGCTCAAAGCCACACACATGTAGTGATGCTCTTGCTCTCTCTATTTGTATAATATGTTTTTTGAAAGACCTGGATTTTTCCTAATAGAGAGTATAAAAATTTGAAAGCTTTGAAACCTTAAAACATTTCATAATACAGAAAAATAATTTCCCCTTGACTCACAGCCCTGTTATATTTTTTCATATGGAAAAAGTCAAAAAGAGGAATATTTTCAAGGTGCTGTGCTGATCATGACCAGCACAAATCAGTCGGTAACTGTAACTCTTTGTAGAAGGTAGGTATATGTTCTGTTTTACAGCTAGTGCTTTCCATGTGCTGTTGTGTTAGCAGTAGTTGTTTGTGGTTGCTTTAAGGATAGGAAGCACTTCCCAAGGTTCACCCCAATCGGAGCCCCACATAGTTTTCACTAAGCATCCTCAGTATTAGGATGAAACTGTCCAATTTCTCGGTCCCCATCCAAACCAGGGATCTACTTGCATCTCAGTAACACCTGTGGGTTCGTACTGTTTAGTATTACAGCAGAAAAAATACTCTTCAGAGTAAATTTAATTCCTTGAGACTAGTTCTGGGCACTTGAACAGTGTTTAGGGGGAGAAAAAAGATGAAATGAGCAAGTCATATCTGAAGAGAGCCAACAAAGGGTCTTGGTAACCTCTGGTGTAGGTTGGATTGGATGAGCCTTATCTGGTCCAAGCTAACTAGAGGATCTCACAAAACCTATGATCTTTTTCCTTTTTTCTTTTTTTCCTTTTTACTTTTTCCTCTTTTCCACTTTCCCTTTCTTCCTTTTTTTTTTCTTTTTTCCTTTCTTTAAAAACATCTTCTCTCCTTTTGCCGTGGATGGCTCAGTTCTCTGATGCACGATGCTCTCAGTTCATTCCAATATCACAGCAAGTTGCAGAGAGGAACCAGTTTCCCATCAAGGGGGAGATGCTCTGGGCTCTCACCGGGAGAGACGGGGTACCTCAATTGCTATCTGGGCTTGATTCCTGGTTACCACAAGATGAACTTCAGGGCAATATCATCGGTTCTCATCTAAAAAGTTCTAACAGGAAGCAAAGTCATAGCTGTCATGGTCAGTGCTGTCCTTTTCCTTGGTTTTCCTGAAGGAAAGGTGGCTTTCACCAAGACTGGCACTCTTCTGCTGTGATCCCCCACCCCGCTGCTCTTCAGGGCTGATTTCAGATGCTATTTCTTGAGATCTAAAGACATGGAGAGGAATTCATATTGCATTCAGATGCATAATTTAGGTGCTTAAAGGCATTAGCCTTATTTAGAGAGGGAGAAAGCCTCCTCTAGAAAGGTTATTCAGAATATCAGAGATGAGAATTACACCTTCAAGGTACTGGGGGGTGGACGATTTGGCAGCTCTGGTGAATTTGATATTCTCTGTAAATCTGTGACAATGCATAAAGCACACTTCAGATGTATCCTGTACTAGTATTTTTCATGGAAAATGAAAGATTATTACCTCCCTTTGTAGTGTACGGTAGTTTTCTGAGAATTCTCTGCCAGGCGGCTGGTACAGAAGAACGTTCCCCTTCTCCAGCAATACAAGCCAGTAATTAAAGCTCAACACAGTGAATAGAGCTATAAAGTAAATCAAAGTAAGTGTTGAATTGTACCTGCCTGCACCGGGTGGTAAACTCTTTATAAGAAAACTCAAAGCTTCCTTTCTTTGCTGAGGAACCATGAATTGCAGCCTCTGTTTGTAGCGCTACAGTTGGCTATCACCTGCTGTAAATCCAGCGTGAAAAGAAATCATGAAGGGAAGAAGTGGAAAGTGTGTTTTGCTTCTTTGCCTCCCTTCCTCACAGGGTGGTCACTCAAAAATCTGTGGCCCCTGGGAGCATGGGTGGAGGAAGCCACCCCGAAAGGAGACCCAAGGGTTTTGAACCATCTTCTGAGTGGAGTGACTTGGACTTTGCGAAGTCCTATGAAATCAGTGGAAAGGCTCCCAGCAAGTAGGGTTTTCCCTGATGCTTACGTCTCTGGCACTGTCTGATTGGTGGAGAAATTGGGCTAAATCCAGAATTTGGTGAACTTCATGGCACTTGCACCATAAAGTCCATATGTCATGAAGGTAACCTCTTGCACGGATGGAGGGGCAGGGAGCACGCTTGCAGGGCCAGCATCCCATCTCATCCCTTCTCATTCAGAAGCCCATCACTCACTGTTTGCCTGCTTCCCTCTAAGTGCCAGTGATGGAGAACATATGTTTTACCCTACTTCACCAAAGTGTGTAATCTCTTGATGCTACTGTGCCATTGACTCCTAAAATCAAGCCTGCCCCGCATGCCCTCATGTTATCTGCCGCTGTACAGACAAGCTGTCAAAATGTTAGTGGGGATTTTGACGCTTAAATGACTCAAGGAGACAGCTGGAATAAGGCTTATAGGTTTATTTGGGGTTTTGACATTGTGGTTTTAGTTCGTAGCTCTATGTGAGCATCCAAAGCAGCAGTGGTGATAATGGGCTAGTTGAAGTGAGTGATGGATGAAGCTTGGTTTGCAGGGGTGCCAAACACAGTACCGAGGGATGGGGGCTGTCTGTGGGGGAGGGTGTGGGTCTCCATTTTCTTATTGAGTAGACTTAGTAGTGCAAAGATTGGGCATATCGAACCTTTCCTGATGAACATAAGGGTGTGCAAGGGAAAGGGAGTATAAGAATAAAGTATTTTTAAACATATCTTGCAGTCTGATTGCCTGCTAGATTCTCCGTTACTTCTCATAATATGCTTGGAAACTTGTATTTGTGCCTTGAGGCGATGAGCCTGTCTTCATTTAGGGATGCAACAGCAGATAATACCACCGAGCTATTGACAGCTTTGTGCGCTCTCGCTAGCAGCCTGCCTCTCTGATTTACTCACTTGTACATGTGTTGCCTTGCAAAAGCAGCACAGTTTTCTCCCCTCCTAGTTATAATTGCATCCTGGGCCACCTTGTTACGGAGCCTGTTCCTGTAGTGTGAGGTGAAAGAGCCAGTTGTTGCCATTATAAATTTCAATTTTTTTTTTTTCCTACATATAATTGAGCCTGGATAGTCATTATGTTTTTTCCTAGGTTCATAATTAAAGAAACCTTGGAGGAGAGCTTTGTAACTGTTACAAGGACAAAAGAGGACGTAATGTTCAGTGTGAGCTTGTTCTTTAGAAACAGGTAGATCTGAGCTTGCAGAAATTTTGGATATGTAGCTGAAAATTCATGAGGAACCAGAAACACTAAACAACAGAACAGTGTGACAAAGTCAGTCATGTCTGTTCATTGCTTAAATTACATTTGTAAGACATTAGATGTAATTTAGCATGAAAAGAGTTACATTTTATGAATTTTTATGAGGTATGATGTCCTCGTAAATTCTGTGTAATTACTAAAGTTATTGGACATTTCCTTTATTATTTTAAAAATAAAATTATATTTTATTTTTCTTTTAAAAAGCAATAGTTCTGAGTGTTGGACTCCACGTGACATCCCTCATGTGCTTTGTTTTGCTGCTCATTCTGGCCAGCAGTTCTTTTGGTTGGTAGGTTTTTCCCCACCAGTCCCCAGTGCCCTACCTTGTCATTGAAAGTGGTTTTGGAAAGATGGTTCTCATCAGGAGGTATGCATTGGGCCAGGTCCCTTCGTTCATCTCCAGCAGAAAGTATTTCTCCCTTGGATGGGGATGGTCCAACGGATCCATAATTTTGGATCTCCTAGGTTTTGGGTGAGAAGCAGAGTCAGAAATAATAGTGGTTCATTCTCGTGCGGTTACAGGAGAAGGACAAAACATCTACTGGACACTTCTCTGGCCTACAGGCGAAAGAAAACTGCCTTCTTTGGGGATCTACACAGTTTGTATTATGGAAAATAGGTTCTGTAGGTGGAGATTGCTGGAAAATACAGGGCAATTATCATCAGTTCTGTTGACAATTGATATTACAGCTTTCTGTTGATTGAATTATCTCACCGCTCATGCTTTCCTGCTTTATAAAGCTGACTGGAGCCAATATGTCACACACAAAACTTGAAACACATTTTTTTTCTTTTTTGCTTTTCTGAAGAAACTTAAGTTAGTTGTTTGGGTATTACACTTTCAAGCCTGAAGCCTAACCACGTGCTCTTTTGTAGTATATTCCTCCACAGACAGGTGGATGTTTGACATAGTCTGTTTGATGCAGACCGTGGATATTGTACCAAGCTGAGCCTTCCCCCATCTCTGTTTTGTTTTGTTTGCTCCAGGTGAAGAAGTACCTCACCACCTGTGCTCAGAGCTTCCCCGTCCTGACGTTGTGGCTTGTGAAGTCCCTTGTGCAATGGACTGCGTCATCAGCGAGTGGTCCCCGTGGTCCCCGTGTTCCCACTCGTGCTCCAGTAAAAATGCTGAGGGTAGTCAAAGCAGGAGTCGGTCCATCTTGGCCCTTCCAGCCGAGGGTGAGCAGTAAACGTTTTGTATTAATTGCTGTTTGTTCATTTAATGAGTTGTGTTCCTCAGCCAGACTGTGTTTAGATCAGAGCTAACACTAATGCTGTAGTGATGAGGAATAATTCTTAATATTTTGTTGTACTTCGTGCCTAGTGACTCAAGGATCTTTGCAGGCCTGAGTTAATGCATATGTCACTGAGAAAAATTCTGTCAGTTCACAATACTTACTTCGGCCTATGAATTATTGTCTGTTGAGGGCCAGTCTGGGTGTGTATTTACTTCAGGAGAGCTACATCCTATACTAATGAAATTGCTGTGTGACACAAACTCATCATGTGAGTGTCTTTGTATAGGAACATATTAGTGCCAATTTAGAAAAGAAGAGTGAGCTGTGAAAAAATGAGGAAATAGAAGAGAACCTGTTTATTTTATTAATGCAGACCTATAATGTGTTGACCTTCTTGTTTTCCTACTGGAATAAGTAAATAGCTCTTGATGAATATGTATAATTTTCTGTGGGTCTTCATGGACACATCATGTATCTGGATTTTTACATATAAGCATCAGTGATACAATTATTTACACAAACTATTTGTATTAGAAGTATAGTCTTCTAAGTACAGTTACCCGTACAGTAATTCATTTATGTGTTGCTTTATCACGCAAGATTTGAATGATATTCCATCAAGTGCATAAAAATTCATAAAATGTGGACAGGTCTAACAGATTAAAGCCTCGTTGACACAACAAAAAATATCTACTATTGTCAGCACTATGTGCAGCTAATGCAGCAACAAAACACTTTCAGATGCAAATCTAGTCTAGGACAAGCTCTGGTAAGTGCTATTTTGTGAATTATCATTAAAGCCACCCACTGTTTCTGGGGCAATGTAAGGACTCGATCTTGCAGACCCTTACTCATGTGAAAGGTCTGTATTCGTGTTAATATCCTTGTAAGCACTTGCAAAGAAAATTGGGACCCTTCAGGATGAAAACTGCTACGTAATTGTCAATTGAATGATGACAACTACTGCTACAAAAGTCTATGAGCTGGAGAATAATTAAAATAAAAAATACAGTTGGCTTCATATTTTCCGTGGAAGTAGCAAAATGCAAATAACAGATAAATATGGAATTATGAAAGTGAAATGTTGAAGGAGTGAATTCTGAAAGTACATAAACTCAGACATCTCAACCTGAAACACACTAAACTAAAAATGACATGCTTTGAAGTGAATACTTGAAGTTTCTCAGGAAGGAATAATTAAGTATTAAAATCAAATACCCAAACTTTTTCTGTACATCTTTAGCAATGAGCATAATGGTTTGTTATACTGAGTCGCACAGATAAGTACAGGCAAATAGTTACTGATTTAAATTTGTGGAGGGTGGAAGTGGATTTAATACAAGTATCACTGCAATACTAAGGCAATATTATGTTACCTGCTTTCTCTGACTCTTTCGTACTCAGCTCAGAGCTGAGCCACCAGCTTCTACAGAGCTGTGGTGCCGTAGCAAGTGACATTTCCTTTGTCCTTTATTGACTGAGATGATGTTAGCTGTGGCTCTGCTGTCTGAGGACTTCTGATTGCCATCCCACAGGCTGACTTCTTCAGCCCCTTGGGTCCTTTTCTCCAAGCTGTACCAGATCTCAGAATATGATAACCAGGAGGCCATTGAAACTAGAAGGGCATGGTTTAAATTAGGTTTTAAAATATATTTCTTTACACAGCAGATTTCTGAAACTTGGTACAAGGGGAGATTGTGGAGGCAGGCAGTCTCAGCAGATTTAAAACATTTTAGAGGAACTGATGAACAACAGGTCTATAAAAGGTCCATAAATGCCTACTAAAAGGGCTAGGCACTGGTGTGCTGTCCTGCTTTCCTTGAACTAAAATTGTCAATGAACTGCAGAAAGTGGCCAGGCTCTTGTGCTTTTGCTAAACAGCATCTCCTGTTTTCAGTTTTGTAGACAGACTGCTAGGTTAGATGGACCGTGGGGCGTTTCTTATGTTCTTAAGTTAAAACTGCCTCGTTATTACTCTTCCTCAGTTAGGAAGGCATCCTTAATAGGGGTATTCTTGAAAAAAAAAAACCTTAATTTTTCCCTGGGAGTTAAGAAAAAATTGAGTTTGATTTCCGCCCCCCCCCCGCCCAATGGACCTGGCATTTTGCCATTTGCTTGCTACAATTTTTAATTTTTTTTTTAATATATGCTCAAACACACAAGAGCAATAACTGGTCTGCATTTTTCCTCCCAAGTTGAAATCTTCAGGAAGGTAAGTTACCTGGGGCATTTTCTACTCCATCATCATACTAAACATGTCTGACAGTGAACACCATGTGGAACAGTCCATTTTCATGAAAAGATGAACGGTAATGTGACATGATTATCCAAATCAGTGCACTAAGAAATTTTTATCCCTCTCTCTCTTTTCTTAGTGCTGTTGATTGTGGCCATTTGGGGTCATACCTTATCTGAGAAGGCGGCAGGCATCCCTTCGAGCAGCAATAGCCTTCATCTCCTGTTGATTTTAGTAGGGCGTAAAGATACTCTGAACCTTGTGGTATCTGGCCCCGACACTTCATTCAAAACCTGTAGCACTTTTGCCAGGTCACACGTTGCCACAGTCTCCCTCCTGGAAGAGAATGGTTTTGATTTTTAGCCATTTTTACTTCTTTCTTCCTCAAATGACAGTGCTTATTGTTACAATTTCACTGCATTGCTCCTTAGCTTTTGAGCTACGAACATCTGCTGCTTTTATGGGATAAATTCAGGCTGCTGGCTAGAGCGTTAAAGCTTCTGGGGAGGCTGTTCAAACTCCGGTACTTTGTGGATTTATTACAAGCTGTTGATAAAGTGCAGTAGCTTAGCAAAATCATTGGATACCAATTCAAAGGTTGCTGCTTCAAAAAAAAGTAGAGGCTTCACACTCAAAACCTTTCTTTCAGGTTTTCTCCCCTTGATTTGCAGATGTAGGTATCAGTCGATACGTTCCTCCATCAGCACAGTTCAGCACCCTCTACAGCTCAGCTCTTTAAGGCAATGTGTGAATAGAGTCCAAATATTAGAAAGAGGTGTTCCTCCTTGGGAAATTAGCAAGGAGAATGAACATAAAAATAATGCTTAATTTGTCTTTAAGCCTAATTGCATGTTTGCTGAGTGATACTGGCATTTAAGTGGAATGAACTTGGCTGTGTGTAGGAGTATCAATAAGGTAACTCAGAAATATGCTTTGCCTGTTTCTGTTTCCATTATGCGTTGGAATACAATTTTATGCAAGGCTAGTTTAATGGGGAAACAATATTTTAGAAGGTTGTTATTGCATCCATAAAGGTCAACAGCTTTATTTAAGCTTTATTTATTTATTTATTTTTAATGGGAGGGGAAAAAAAGACATTAAGCAAACCCAACATTTTTGTTTACTTTATTTATTTATTTTTAATGGGAGGGGAAGAAAAGACATTAAGCAAACCCAACATTTTTATTTATTTTTTCCATGTCTTCCTTTTGCCACATGCCATAAGATAAAATAGGATGTTCTCCTGACTCTTTCCAGGTGGAAAAGCCTGTCCTCCTGACCGAGCCCTGCAGGAGCACCGTGCCTGTAATGATCACCCGTGTGTGCATTTCTTCTGGGAAACTTCTCCCTGGAGTTCCTGCTCCGAAGATGCGCTGGTAACTGCACTCAATGCAACCATTAATTGGAGTGGAGAAGCCTCTTGTGGAGTGGGTGTACAGACAAGGAAAGTCCTCTTTTTTTTTGGTTCTGGCCAGGTCACACCTAAAAGGTATTTAAGGAAAGGTTATTAGTGATTATTTGTAGTTACAATACATGACATATGAAAGCATTTTCAGCTAACATATGGAATCTCCAGCATTGAAAATTATTTCATTTCAGGACTAATTCTCCAACTACTACTCCATCACCACTATGAAAGGGATACTAATGTATAACAAAAATAAATAGCTAGCCTATTTTTAATTTTCTGTGTAAATCCAAGCAAAATGCATATTTTTAGGGGTGTAGATTTTTTTTCTGTAGCTCCTCTGTTATTCTAATTTACAGCTTTTTGCAAATATTTTTCCTGAAGGACAGGTGTGAGGAAAATATAAAGTGCATCTGAATATAACATTTATCAATACATTGTTAACAATGCTATAATAAAATAGAAAAAGTAAATAGAATTTGCATTATATTTACACCACGAGAAGGCAGAACCATATGTGTGATCTATATCATTCAGTTGATTTATATAGCTTCTATAATGTGATACTACCAAGACGACAAAATTATGTGTTCTGCGGCACAAATATTCTGAATTTTGCTTTGCTTTACTAAATGAGGAAAATAAGTAGCACAGATGTTTTCCCTAATATCAAAAAATCAAGACATTGCTAATTATTTTTTGCACTGTTAATGAGTCTAGAGACTTACAACCAAGTTTCATTTCTTATTGTCACTCTCAAAACAATCCTGTTCGTATAAGCACACGGTGTTGATTTCAGTAAAGTTAATTAAAATTCTTGAGGTTAATGAGATTAATTAAATAAAAGGAGAGAAATCTAGTATTAATTTATATCTAGAATCCATTGATATGCTGTAACTCTACCTAATTAAACATATTGTTTATAGAACTATGTAGTGCCTAATATAGTTGGTTGCTCCCTCCACTTTTGAGATGGTGTAAGGGAAAATGGAACTGAAGAGGGTAAGTAAATATACACATGAAGTATGTGAAGGGAAAATGGATTTTCAGTAATGGAAAAATCCTGCAAAGAGATCTGTGTACTGGGGACTTCAGAAAGGGTCTCTCCTTGGCTTTGGTTGGTGGCTTCAGTGCCATGGCACACAGGTCTTTGAGGTGTACTAGTTTCAGTTGGGTTACATTAGTGCCAAGGAGAAGAAAAATGAGGCTTATTGTGACCAGGAGTGATATCTTTGATATGGCAGTATGTTCACAGCCCTGTGAGAGTCTTAGGAATAAAGTATTTCCCTGTAGTTTTGATTTTTTATTATATTTTATCTTTGTGTTTGGATCAATAGATGTCCAGAGTCCATCAGACCTGAGACCGTGCGGCCATGTCTCGTCCCCTGCAAGAAAGACTGCCTTGTTACGCCTTTCAGCGAGTGGACTCGCTGCCCAACAGCGTGTCAGCCTGGTAAGCCTTTAAGAAGAGGTCAAAATTTGAGGAAAAATTAGAGAACTGGCGTTCATCTGATTGAGTTTTGGGCTTGGGGTTTTGACCCTGATGTTGTCGGCGGGGGGTGGGTTCCTCATGAACAGATTTGGAGGTGTTAAGTTGTCTTTACCTGGAATAAATTAATTCTGGGCTTCCGCCTTCCAAGTCAGAAGTCCAAGGCCCCGACATGGTGTTGTCTATACATGGAATTGCTACATGATATGAGATTTATTTCTCTTGACCAACCTAGATGCATGTACAGGGTTGTGCAAATAACTCCTGTGCTTTGTGGTTTTTCAAGGACCATCCATTTCTTTGATTTAGTTGGTTAGCTTTAGTACACTGGGTGTTTAGCAAAGTTTCTTTATAATGATCTAGCACTGATTTTTGTTACAATTTTGTGTGTTTCATTAATTGTTCAGATGAAAGCCTTCTCAGTTATCAGAATATTTCATTTTTTTGTGGCTTCTTTGCCCTTCAAAAATTTTCAGTGGATGCTCTAGCATAGTCCTTGTTAGATTTTACAGGAAAATAAGCTGCTTTCTAAAACAGTGAATCCTGTTTTAATTAGGAATTTATTTTTAGACTTTAAATGAGCTGCCTATGAAGAAGTAGAATAAATTACCTGGTAAATTACTTTGTTTATTAAATAATAGTCTACAATTAAAATGAGAAGAAATTAATTATTTAACCTCCTTGGCAGTATTATCATTTTAATATAATTCTAAATTAAAACTTCTTAGATGAGGGAGTTTGCTTTTTACTAGATCTGTTATTGATATGGCTGCATTGCAAGGTTATTTTTTTTTAATTTGCATTGTGCAATTAAAACCTCAGCACGATAATGAAATTTCAAAACCGCTGTATGTATGTGAGGTTTTAGTGGTTTTCTTTTTTTTATAAAAAAGTTTTATTTAATGAAAACAATATACGGATGCTGAATTACTAAGCAGATCAAGCAGGAACGGGTATTGCCTGGCAGATGTAGAATTAAGTATGTACGGCATAAGATCAGAGCTTAGACAAACATGCGATCACTAAATCACGTTTACACAGAACTTTACCAGTTAAGCTGTTAGTAGTTTATGTGAGAGAATGTGTCCAAATTTACTATCTAACAATAAAAAAGCTGACATTTTCCCTA